TTTAGGGTTTTAGGGTTTCGGGTGTAGGGTTGTAGGGTTTTAGGGTTTCAGGGTTTAGATTTTAGGGCTTGGGGTTAGGGTTTAGGGTTTTAGGGTTTTAGGGTTTTAGGGTTTAGGGTTTAGGGTTTTATTTTAGGGTCTTGTTCGAGCAAAAACCACTGAAAGCAAAACCCATGTCGGGCTTCCACTAAGCGGTTCGCACGTCGGCCAATGAGCTAGGCCGCTTCGTAACCTCAAGGGCCCTGTTTGAGTCCTCCTTTCCGGAACTTCCCTAATTCCTATAAACCTTTACGTAACCCTGAACTTTCCTAAGTCCTAAGCAGCCGACCACACTGAACCGGGCTCCCTAACCCCTAAATTGCTAAACCCCAATCCTGAAGTTAACACCAAACCCAACAGCCTCGGACCAACAAGAACAAATACAGGGCCTGAATAAGTGGAGTAAGGCTGCTTTATACAGGTTCTACACAAGGGTTACTATAAGGGCTACTGTAACGGGTTTAATGTAGGGGCTTTGATAAGTTGGGAATACATTACAAAATCATGCTAATTGGAAAAATCAACATAGGAATGCTACTGAGCAGACTTTTCTATTGGAGGGAACCCTGAAACTCGCTATGGAGTAAACCACTGAATTCCGAGAGCCGTAACAGAAGACTGTGAAAGCCGAATGCGCACTCACAGTTTGTTTTTTCGTCGGACCTTTTCCCCCTCGTCGTGAGTTCAGGGGTTTAAGATTCAGGGTTGAGAAGTGTCGCGAGGCTTTAGGTTGTGGTTTGAAATCCTTATGGGTGACATCATGTATAAACATATGAATACATGTGCATATATACAAACATATATATATATATATATACATAGTTATGCATATATATATATATATACATACATACATGCATAAAAGACTCGACCAAGAAGAGCATGCACATGCGAGGGTTCCACATGTAGGATATAGGAAGCCCTTTGAACATAATGTTGCGGCCTTAAAAACTTGAATAGGTCTTTGGGGTGCTATGGAACGCTAAAGAACAATGTTGGCAAGTATTCAAGGCCTTACAGTATGAAGGCGCTGGAAACACAACCGACACTGACAGACCTGAAAGCCCGACCAGCAACTTCACCTGCTGAACACGTTGTCGTGCACCCTGGAACCATGTAATCTAACATAACCAACATAACCAACATAGCAACACAACAACGCACAAAAAAAGCTGCCTGCTGTTCGGAGCTGAGCTCGGCGAGGCGTGCGCTGTTTCGCAAATCGACGTTCTCCTTCTCCAGCTCCTGTGTTGAAGGTTTCACTTTAGGTTTGGGGAAGCCAGACACCCAGTCAAAATGAAGGCAGGTTGAGCAGGGAGCCCCCGATGCCAAGGAGACTGGCGGTAATTCCGCTGGAGCCTGGATGATTGAGTAGGGCTCGGACTCAGGGTTTCATGCAGGACTACTACTACTACTACTACTACTACTACTACTACTGCTACTGCTACCAATACTACCTACTACGACGACGACCACGACTGCAATTACGACTTCCTACTCCTTAGCTTTTTAAAAAAACTCTGAAAAGGCTCCAAAAAGTTTGGCTTGTTGTCAAAGCGAAGTACGAAGGTGTCGCCGACTTTAAGGCTTGCACTTCGGTAGGGCTTTGTGGATTTCGGGGCTTGCAGCTGTTGTGTTCAGATTTTTTACAGTTTGGGGTCCTTCAAACTTCTGAGTTTATGAAGACACATTCGCAAGGAACAAAGAAGCAGGAGCCCTAAAAAGGTGAGTTCTTCAGGCTGGGCTGAAGCTGCGGGGTCTAGCCGGTTGAAAGACCTCCAGGGCCTCACACAAACAGTAGAAGTCTTTATACTCGGAAAAGGGTTTCGGGGTTGGTTGTACGATATGGACTATCTGAACTGAGGATCGAAAGCATCCTCCCCTAAGCCCACCCCCTACAACTTACAGTCCCGATACCTGGTACATCAAGCGCTCCAGTACAAGTCGTGTCCTCCATGTGCGACTGCAGAGAGTCGATTTCTTCCTTGCACTCGCCTTGCGCTGTGATGCATCACCCTAAGGGTCCATGTAACTCCATGTACCCAAATAGAATATACATTGACCGGAATGTAGTCCCTATATAGGTACTTTAGAGCCAGCCCATGTATATGCTTTGTGAAGACATGGACCCTGAGGGGCAGGAACCCTTACCGAACTACGGTCTGGTTCCATCGGGTTGCGCTTAGAGAAGCCAAAACAGCACGTGGGCAGACCTAAACCGTTTTGGGGCAATATTCCTGGGGTAGGCTTCAACCCCAAAGGGTCCAAGTACTAGTGTAGTCTATACTTGTGGGGCCCAAATACCTACTAAGTACCTACTATAATGGTACTTGGACCCTTTGGGAACATGTTGTGTTTGGGTGCGTTTTTGGCTTAAGGTTGAGGGAACTCTCCGAGCTGAGAGCCGTTGCCAGAGCAATGGTGCCACCTGGTCTAAACGTCCAAAACCCGAACGACACCTCTAACTCAAATTCTGAGTGGGGCAAGGATTTGGAGGATAGTAGAGTATAATTACACAGGGGCATTGTGGCAACCGATCAGACCCAATATTGAACACCCAATCGCCGAGTGGATGGCTGTGGCGCTTGTTGGAGCCGGTGACTTGTGTGGAGAACTCATCCTTGGCAGGATCTCTGTGTGGGGTCTTCAACTCTGAACCCTATCCTGAACCCTGAAACCGTGCAGGCTTTCGGGAGTATAACCAAACCCAACACCCCAAAACCCCTCAGAATACGACCCCAAACCATGTAACCCGAAACCCCTAGGCCGTACGACACTTTTTGGGCGCCCCTGTTTGGGACGCCTTGAGCCGAAGACTGCACCCACTTGTCACTACTTACCCCCCCCCCCCCCACACACACACACACACACAAACCCAGGACTCCCTGTCGAATGCTGAAACTGGGTTTTGGGTTTGGGGTTTCGGGCTATACCACACCACCACCACCACGACGACGACGCCTACTTAGGTGCAAGGGCTTGTTGTTTAAAGTTTAGGGTTTGTGGTTTCGGGTTTGGGGTTTTGAGTTTCCCGAGCCGGCGGACTGATGCTGCGGGGCTAAGGTTTACGGGTGTCAAGGGTTTGAGGTTCAGGGATGTCTTTGGTTAGCAGCTATGCAAGCTCTCCTTGGCTGTTCCATGGCTCCAAGACTGGACCTTGAACACCCAAATATAGGGGCCTTAATAATTAGGCTAGGGTTTTGGGGCGTATTCTACTATATTCAGGGATCTTTGGATTTGCAAGGGTTGGGCGTTTATGGCTCAGGGCTTAAGATCCAGGTTTCGGGTTTGGGACGTGAGACATGAAGGGCACAGGGGCTCCATGTTTCTCCCCGCGTCCTTGCGACCCTGGGTTCTGGTGAAAGAACTTCGATGAAGTCACGATGGTAGGATTTGGGTTGAGGGTTTCAGGCCTTCGTGTTTTAGGGATAAGGCTTTTAGGGTCTTAGGTGTACGTGAAGTTATACTGCAGATACATGCTAATTAACAATGCCAGCTATATGGCTCACTTGTTATTTTGGGTAAGTCAACTTACTTATCTGTTTAAGTTCCTTAAGAAGAGCATGTTGCAACCTTTAACATCCCCCTCTTCAAAGTAACCACATGTAAACCTGTAAGAACCCTATATACTATGTATGAGCCCAGTACTTCGGTGTAGAGAAGAACTGAGAGGTTGGCGAATTTCTTGAGGATGCCCTGAAGATCGTTCTGCAGCGTGGTCTGCGTCTTCTTCAGCCCCTAGGGGCAGCTTCTCATTTTGCGGAGGGAGGGTTTAGGGTTGGGGGTTTCGGTTTAGGGGTTTTAGCGGCCTGTTGAAGGACTATACTATGGCCACAGGCCCTTAAGGAAGGACCAGAATCTACTATTTCTTCGGGTCTCGAGCTACAAGTAGGTTTTCGACTTCCCATCTCGAACCCTACCTCCAAGCTCTTCTTAAACGGGTTTGAAGGTTTTAAGATGTAGGGACTTTGGTCCAATGCTTGGTCGGAGTTCGTTGGTTTTCTGTGGAGGACTCGCTTCGGCCCTCCCAAGTATGCTTCAGGAGGTTAGGGTCTGGCGTGTAGGGCTTTGGTGTACTTCATGACTGCATTGACCCCTCCCCCTACACTCTGCGGACTATTCGACAGCATGCCTGTTTCATGAGGGGCTGTAGCCTAAGTGGTATTGAGGCTTCATGTTTCAAGCGAAGCCTTTTGGCTCGTGTTTGAGGCATTCGGAAGGGAAGCTCCAAGGCGTGAAACTGAACTAAATCCTGTCATGCTCGATTGCAAACCCTAACCTCTAGACTCTGAACCCCTGTGCCCTAATTCCCCAAACCCCTGGACCCCTACGTAATACCATGCTAAGGTACTTTGCTCAACCAGATCCAAACGACTTGTTCATCGCAAGGTATGTTTTAGGGAGCTGGCAACCAACGAAATAGCGAGGTGACCACGAAGGAGCTGGGACTGCGTGGCATCGCATCGAATACTGTGCTCCAGACTCGATACCCTGAGCCGTGCAACTATACTCAACACTCAACACTGGTGGCCCCTAAATCCGAAAACCCAAACCCTGAAGCCAAAAACTCAAACCAACCCTAAAGCCTAAACCCTAATCCGTAAATCCTAAACCTCAAAACCTGATCCCTGAACCCTAAACCTTAAAACCCAAGCCCTCAACCCTAATCCACAAGCCCTAAACCCAAAGCCCTGGCGCCTCGTTCTGCTTCTCCAGCTGTGAAGCATTCACCTTGGAAGCCGCGCACATGGCCTCGGCTTCGGGCTGTAAGTACGTAGCAATGTAGGGCGAGTTCAGGGTTTAGGGTTTAGGGTTTAGAGTTTAGGGTTCAGGGTTTAGGGTTTAGGGCTCACAACGAGCTTCCTTCAAAGGAGCCCTTGCAGGAATCCGTAAGGCCGCCCCCTCAACCATTTCCCGGCCTGAAGAAACCCACCCGACCGTCGGGGTCGACTACAAACCTTATAAAGTCCTAAACAAAATCGTAAGCCCGTACCGTACACCTCCCTAAGACTTAGAATAGGGTTTTGCGAGGTATGTTCTACTATAACCTCATGAGGAACCACTACAAACCTTTATAAATCCTCAACAAAATGGGAGCCCGTACCGTATAGCTCCTTAAGAATTAGAATATAGGGTTCTGCGAGGTATGTTCTACCATCATCTCATAAGGACCCCCCCAAAAAAATCGCATTGATAGTTTTAAAAGCCCCCATATCAAGTACCAGATCCTAAACCCTATACCCTAGACCCCATATCAAGCCCTAGACCCTAAACCCTAAACCGCGTATTAAGACCCAGACCCTAAACCCTAAACCCCATATCAAGACCCAGACTCGAAGCCCAAAACCCAAAACCTCATTTTTAGGCCCTAACCCTAAACGCCAGATGAAGCCCCAGACAAAAGGCTCGACCCGTCCCCCAAAGCAGTCCCCGGCCTCGTTCTCGGTCAATCGCTCTTGGGCCGCCTTAAGAAAAACTGGGGCTTCGCGTGTACGTGTTGGATGTTTTGACAGAGCTCCAAAAATCTGTTTTGGGGGGGTAACCGATGGTACGCGTACGTTTGTATGGGGCCATAAGAGGGCTCGACTGCAAGTTCTTCCGAGCCCTACCTAAAGTACCGCATATGGATGTTTCTGGCTGTGTTCGAGATGCAGGATGTCATCCGCCCAGGTTCCACAACAGCCACACCCAGTGTGAATCCTAAGGCCTACGAGTTCGCGTTGGCAATGGTGGCCTGTGGTGGTGGTACCCTAAAGTCTAAAGTCTGGGGGTCCCTACCTAACGAACCGCCCCCCAAAACCCAGAAGCCCTAAACCCTATGTGGCCCCTGAACTCTATAGGCTATATCCCAAGCCCCTACAGGCAACGAAGCTGACCTCCCCGTAGAGACCGACCTCGCCTGCATCTCCTTGTTGCGGTTCTCCTGCTGCTCAGCAAGTTGAGCTTCCTGCGGCAGGGGCCCGGTTATGGTAGGCGCCTAAAGCTTCGATACCCTAAACCCTAAACCCTAAACCCACAACCGTGAGGGTTCAGGGTTTAGGGTTTAGGGGTTAGGCTCTGGAGCGGTGTTGGTTCAGAAACCTAGGGCACCCCATTTAGAGTTTAGGACTTGGACATACCCGTAGGCCCGAAAGTAGTTCCTTTTTGGGGTTACCTTATAGGATTCTATATATGAACCCCCAAAAGGAACTACTTTAGGGCCTATGGGTAGGGTCCCGGCACTTCTTCGATACTATTGGGCTTCAGGTTTCTTGGAGGTTGGTTTGGGGTTTGGGCGTTGGGCTTTCTTCGTTGTGTAATTAGAGTTTATAGATCGGTACCTCTAGAGCACCATAAACGTCCAAAGTGCCGACAATTCCCCCCATGTGTCGCATGGAACTGTGAAGTTTCACACTTAACCACCTGGAGCTATGCGACCAAAGCTAAATAAACACCAACCTAGAGGGGACAGGAAGACCTGACAGCAGAAATGTTGGGCCCGAGTTTCAGGGTGTCTATCTTGATTATACAAAAGCCTTAGATTCCGGAAGAAAGGCTGCCCAAGAGCAGGAATATCAGAAACCATTTCGTTGCCCTTTACGAAGAAAAATTCTGCGATGAAGCCCAATCTTCAACTGATCCCTAAACCCTAAACCCTAAACCCTAAACCCTAAACCCGGACTAGGTTCAGTGGTTTAGGTTTTAGGGCTTAGGGCTCCCGCAAGCAACCGCTAGTCAGCTGCAAGGCTAAATGCCCCAAACCCTAAACCCTAAACCCTAAACCCTAAACTCTGGAATGTAAGCTCAAAGGCCCTGAACCCCGAAACCCTGAGCCCTAGACCCTGAACACCGCCATCCCCGTTGCCGAAGCTTTCCTGAAGGTTCGGGTTTCAACGTGTCCCACCCCCAAGCCTCAAACCAAGTGGCTCCCCCCTGAGAGCTCGGTTTAGGGTTTAGGGCTTAGGTCTAGGATCGCCAAGAGAGCCGGATGAGATATATTGTACAACGATACTATGTTATTTTATCTTTGTTGCATTATCGAAAATTGCCTGATACTGCATTTTACAGTATAGTGTGTTGATCAACATATACTATTGTTACATGTTGTATCGAATTACATTAAACTATGACGTTGTGTTATATTTCAGCTGCATTATTACAGTATAGTATACTATGTTATAGTATATTATATCTTATAGGGGTATAATGGAACATATTCTATTCTATGATACTACAGTGAACTGTATTAAACTATATTATAGTATACTATGCCATAATTATGTGTATATAGCTATAACAGACTATAGTCATATCTGTACTTGTATTTATATTATAGTATAGTATATTATAGTCTATTACATGACAGTTTCTTCTGTTATTCGACAAAAAATTGAGTATGTTATAGAGTGTATATTGAGTTTAGTCTTCGCATAGCACAGTATAGCATAGCATAGCAAAGCATGGCAGAGCAGAGTAGAGTAGGACAGAGCGTAGTCTAGGCACCTCCTAAAAGGAATCTCCAAGATCATCGTGGGAAAGAAAAGCATCTCACCTCCATGCCCTTGAACGCTGACCCTAAACCCTAAACCCCAAACTCATACCGTAAACCCAAGGCCCCTAAACCCTAAATCATACCCTACACCCGGAACCCAACGTACACAAACCCTAAACCGTAAACTCCAGAAATGCTGGCACAGAGTAGGAGCTCTAGCTCTACAGACTTCTTCCAGGCGTGATCTTCACTGCCATCAGAGCACCAGATCTTATCGCCGCTCTGGCCACATGCTAATACCCCAAAGGGTCCAAGTACTAGTGTAGTCTATACTTGTGGGGCCCAAATACCTACTAAGTACCTACTATAATGGTACTTGGACCCTTTGGGTATGATTATCCACACGATCAAGGCCCTGAAATCAGGCTTTTAAACCCCACGTTCGGAAACACAAAAGCCCGGACCAGCGTTACTCGTGCAGCTCTCTATACCGCAGGGACCTGAAAAAGTTAAGGTGCATAATGGCGTAATTCAAATCACCTTGAAAAAAAGGCTTAATAATCAGGGGTCGACATAAAGCACGTTCAGGATTTAGGGTTTTAGGGGTCTCCAATACACCTCCGGAGCCCGATGCCCTAGCATCCTTATCGGCGTTATCGGTCGCATAAGGCTTCCAGTCCTGCGTTTCGTACGTCTCGTTGAACTTTTGAAGCTTGCCTTCAGCCAGGGCGCTTACGCGATCAGGGGGTGGATGCGCACATTTATCTATGGGGTTAGGGCGTCAGAAGGATTTTAGGCCATGGCTTCCACAGAGGTGCTGCCTTTTGAGGTTTGGTATTCTTATAAACAGCTAAGAACATCACAAACTCAAAAGCTTCCATCAGGGCTATCCCGTGTCCTGTGGGCCACCGTTAACAGTCCTAACACTTATGGGAGGCAGCGTCCCGGCTGGTCCGAGAATCGCCCCGAAATCTCTGCATCGTGCCTAAATCCCATCAACACCTTGAGGAACGAATGGAACAGGGCTGAAACCCCCACACCTTTATGCCTGATGCATCCTCCAATCTGAACCAAAGCCCAAAAGCAAAGGACGACATGTCATGCATAGGGCTCCACTGGGTGGCTCCATAGAACTTGACGAGAACACTGGACAAATAACTGTTCAGCCTCGCCACGCTTTTGGCTGTTTGACAAAGGGCCAAGCAAACGAACCGATAACTGGGGGAGTCCTAGCCTTATGTGGGTTCTGGATCCGGGTTTTGGAGAGGTTTCTCGACTTGCCAGCTAGAGAGCTATCTCTACCGCACCTGCAAAACGAAGGGTGTCAGGCTGGAACTTGAACCCCCGACACTTCACACTCCGGATGATCGCTGTTCGGAGTGGGTTGCCTCGGAGGTCATCGTTCTCTTTCAGGAAGCCTTGCCGAACCTGAAACTCCCAAGCTGCCCGAAAGAGGGTTCTGAGCTTAGGCCGAAAGGCTGGGTCTAGAGTGCTTTACGTGCTGCAGATTCCAGAGTTCCGGGTTTTGGGCTATGGCTCTGGCTCAAAGTTGTAGATGTCGTTGCACGGTGCCAGGCAGGGGCAATCGAAGAAGAAGGTGGGGTCTAGGGTTGTTTCTATGGGGGGGCTTAGGGTTTGGTGGGTCTCTGCAAGCATGTGTGGACAAGGGGTGCTCCAAGTAATTCGTTTTGAAGGTTCAACCTCTGTTGGGATCCATTCCACAATTGCAGGGGCATTCATAATTGGAAAGGGGTTTGGGTATATTACGACTAAACTAAAGTCGATTGCAAGGACACTATTAGCAATTGGTACTTAGTACTATTTATTGCTATTGTTCGTGCACACCCCTGTACTACCTAAAACTACCCGTAACTACCCCTAACTTTGGACACCTGGATGCACCTGGATGCATGTTGAAGAGCACTCGGATTCGGATAAACTGTTTAGATTTCGGGGCTTAGAGAACCTGCTCTTGTTGGGTTGCCTGACAAGCTGTAATACGGCCATTGCCGCCGCATGGGTGCAGCGAGTTATTGTGGATGTTGCAGGGCTTGCGGCAGAAAGCGTAGTCTGGCGTCTCCAGTGGCTCTGCCAGCATGTCCAGCAACGAAATGCCAAGGGAGAACAAGTCGGCCACATCCCTGTCTTGAGAAAAGCACAGCAGTTGTTCAGTCGAAAGCCCTGTCGGCGACACCCTAAAACAACCAGTATCAACTTCTCGAACGCAGCGGACTCAGGCCCTGAATCCAAAACGCCTATCACCAGCCCCCAGACACGAACCTGAATCTACACGACTCTTCCACCGCCCGTTGCAATAGAACGGAAGCCATGACACTTGCTATGTTTCCTCTGCTAAATATATAGTAACTTGTACTAACTCCCTTGCTCGGGAAAGACAATCGTAAATCGCAAGTAAGTAGGGTTTAGGGTTTAGGGCTTTAGGCAGTCTAGGGCGCATCGGCTTCAACTGCAGGGGTTCCCTGAGGCTCGGACAACGCAAAAATACCCATAGGCCCTAATTGTGGGGTTACCTTATTAGGATTCTATATATGAACCCCAAAAGGAACTACTTTAGGGCCTATGGGTAAGCTCTCTGAACTCTCCGGATTTACGGTTGAGGGCGCCCAGCTGAGACCAACAGACCCTAACTACGTCAAATCAGATCGGCGCCGAAACCCAACGCGCCATCATCGCCCCTCTGAAGCCTGATTCTCAACTCGAGGCAGGCCCACGCAACCAAATTTTGACTGCCTCCGAACCCCAAAAGCCTCTAGCCCCGAACCCTGAACCCCCGACTGCCTAAACCCTAAACATTAAGGCAGACCTCCAGTTCCGCATCCATCTTCTCCTGCACATCTTTGATGGCCGCCTGGAACTTGTCCTGTGCATTTTTCGCTGGTACTAGGGTTTAGGGTTTAGGGCCTGGAACTTGTCCTGTGACAGTTCGCTGGTAGAAAGACCCTTGCGTGTCCGGAGGGTTTTCTGGGTTTCGTGCGAGGTTCTGAGGACGATGCTAGAACATACCGTTACGGTCTACCGTAATATACTATAATGTACGATATTTCAATATAGTGCAAAAAACTATAATATCCTATAAAATACGACCATGTACTGTAAAGTGCCATAAGATGTTATAACTCGCTATGTGGCCTTTGACTCCTGGCACATCAGTCAGGAGAGGCCCCTCAAGGCCAGTCCAGTACGGCCTCTGTCCGAGAAACTCATCTCATCTCACCCTCAGATGTCACCCTCGACTTAGGCTTTACGTTTCGGATTTGCAGCGGGTTCGGCTTGAGGGCTAATAGGGGTTGAAAGGCTTAGGGTTTAGGTGGTTACGAGAGACTTGCAGGTTTAGAAGTTTAGCGTACTTAGTAGGGGGTGCCCGGGTTGCCTGGCTTGGGGCTTCGGTGTCTGGGCATAGCCTCAGGTTCGGGGGCTTTGGGTTCTTAGGGCTCATGGGCTCTCTGCTCTTCGGTGTGGGGGAGTCCACTGGTGCAGAGCCGGGTACGGTTTTTCGACGGCTTCAGGCCCGAGCCACAGTGCGTCGATAGTAGCCGAGACATGCTGACGAAGTACATGTCTCAACCCGAACTGTTATTCGTCATGCTACAAGCGCATGACCGATTGCATTATTGACTTCTTGAGCCCCGGCACAGCTGCTTGCTGGAAATGGAAATCCTTGACGAAACACATGCCCAGATAGCGAAATGAGCGAACCCCAAACCCCGAACCCTCAACCCTGAAGCCGTAAACCCCAACCCCCAACTCCTGAGCCCCAAACCCCAACCCCGAAACTCCCAACCACCCAAGGTTTCGGGGTTGAGAGCTTGGCCCAAGCTCTAAACCCAAGAACATGAAACCCTATAAACCCTAACACCTCAACCCTAAATTACTAAAGGCCCTAACACCTCAACCCTAAGCCCTAAAGCCCTAAACCGTCCCCCCCTTTTTTTTGGGGCCTTGAGCTCTGTATGGCGACTCTGCTCTTCTTCTGCGATCTGTTGGTTCTCCTGGGCAGGTTCAGGGTTCAGGGCTTAGGTGTTAAGGGGGATCCTTGAAAGGGTACCACTAATAAGGTCTCCTCTAGGGCCTCCTTTAAAGTGCGCCATCAGCCTTCCCTTTTTGCGCTTCTTTCTGGGGCTCCCTGTTGCGTGCTTCAAGCTGCGAGATCCTGTCCGGGGTTTAGGGTTTAGG